GTGATTGCATCAGATTTTTGTCTCAACTGTTGATTAGTTCTCCTACGGCCATTGTCTGCAATAGACGTTACCTCAAAGAAGCGTATGAAAATTGTAACACACTGGCAAATCAAAGTAATATCAACTGGCTCTGAAACTCTTCTAATATAAATGCAATCGAGAATATGTGGTCGAACCACGTGGAATGTACAAACGAAATATTAACATGTGCACTGGATCATGTTTCATTGAAAAAATACAAAAAGAAATTAAATAATAGTGGAATCATTCGTTTTGCACAAGGGTGTATATATATATATATATATATATATATATATATATATATATATATATATATATATATATATATGAATAAAAAGGAAAACTATAGCCAGCCGTCGATGAAGGATTTATTTTATTGTACGTGTTTATGCACAAAGACAAGGATGTGATGGGTTGATCAAGACTTTATCTATGAGAAAGTTTATGAATATTCATCAGGATGTTTAATGGTCAGTCAAAATTAGTGAGGGATACAATATGTCTCAACTCAAAGTCTGGTAAGATAAAACTAAACGAATAATATTCAAGAAATAATTATTTTTTTAAAAGAATATAGTTTAAATTTTGATTAGATTGCTATTAATTTTGTTCCTTGACAGATAGACACTATCTGAAATATATATATATATATATATATATATATATATATATATATGAAATGTCTTGCCGTATCTGTCTTCCCGTTGTCTATGTTTTTGAAAGTGAAGACCCCAATCCCATTGTTGGCAGTGGGAAACGCCCACCCAACTCAAACTTCCTTGAAACTGAAAAGCTTGTTGACATATAAAGTCAGCCTCTACAATCCACAATCTGACCATGAGAATGGAAGTCGGCAATAGTGAACGCTAGCTGCCATTTGTAAGTAGAATACGCTTACCCAAATTCGCCCATGGATTTATTTTTGTCTCTCCCTCTCTGTCTCTGTATTTGCATTCTACCACTTTATTTTTATTAATTTAGTTTACTTAGTAATTTTTTTCTTGTGTTCTAATATTGTAAACTAATTTGTAAACCTGCACCCGCTTAATTAGTTGAAAATCGGCCCTGCAAAAAAAAAATCGTCTTGGACAGCAGGTGAACCTAAACTGTCTGCATTTTTCTGTAGAAGTGGGACGTTAATTCTTGCTTGATAAAATAGATACTAGCGTGGAAATGCCTTGCCGTATCTGTCTTCCCGTTGTCTATGTTTTTGAAAGCGAAGACCCCAAGCCCATTGTTGGCGGTGGGGACCCCCAACCAAATCTCAGTTCCTTTAAACTGAAAAGCTTGGTGACATATAAAGTCAGCCTTTACAATCAACTATCTGACCATGATAATGGAAGTCGGCAATAGTGAACGCTAGCTACCATGTGTATTAGAATTCTTTACCGCATACGCTATACTGGATAACCAAATTTGTTCTTTAGGATAGGACAATGGGATTTATAGTAAGTTAAGACTTAATATAATGGAAGGCATAAACATAAAATACCATTCCCATCGATGGGGAGTATGTCTACAGCTGTCAACTCGGACTTCTCAGTTGCAGGCGATTTTTTTTCTGTGTGTGTGTATGTAATGGGAGTAGATAGGCTTCCCTGCCGTTCGGTCAATACTCCTCCCACTTCTCTTGGACAAGAGCAGAGGCTCACACCTTGTTTCTTGTTAAGGAAGGGGTTTCCGGATCTCTCCTTACTATCTCTCTGGCCTCTGGACTGGAGGCTGCCGTGTTTCTCGCGTGATGTTTGCAGTCTGTGGCAATGCCTCTTCATTCTGAGGGTACACGGTTGACAGTTTTCTAGTTGCTGTTTCCGACTGGTAGTTAGGAGCCCTATCTCGTGCGTAGCGTCTTGAGCGGCCTCTCTGATCAACAGTTGTATAATACCGGGGTGTCTATAGTGCCATGTCGCGCATTGATAGGTGCCCCTGCATTCATCTCCGGTGCTCATTATGTTGCAGGCTGCGCCAATTTCCGTCTGCCCACGTCGCAGTCGATCACCGTCTGCTTCTACTTCAGGCTTTTTTTTTGCTACCGCAATTACACATCATGAGATCTAACAACAATCCTAAAAGAAATCCTAAACCAGCTCTTAAAGAATCACCTAAGACCTTCAACATTTCATTTTCTAACATCCCTGGCATTAGAGCCAACTTCTGCAGTATTGAATCTTTCCTTGTTGCGAACTGCCCGGATATACTGGCTCTCTGTGAGACCAACCTTGACTCATCTATCCCCTCCTCTGACCTCTCGATCCCCAGTTACCTTCCACTCCTTAGAAAAGACTCTCAAACCCATATGTATGGCCTGGGTGTTTGCGTGAAGGACCATCTCCCGCTGGCAAGAGCTGTCTCTTGAATCTCCAGACCATTCGTATATCTGTCTGCAGCTATCCCTTCTCAATGTTGTAAGCTACCTCTTCTTCCTTTATCGCTCCCCATCCTCCCAAGACTGTGGTGTTCTGGAATGCATTTCTGACAGCATTGACAAGTCTCTCTCTCTCTCTCTCTCTTTCTCTCTCTCTCTCTCTCTCTCTCTCTCTCTCTCTCTGCTCGCATATTCGTGTTTGGCGATTTTAACGCCCATCATACCAAGTGGCTTAATAACGCTACTACTGACGTTGCAGGCATACAAACCCTTAACTTTTAAATTTCTCAATCCCTCGCGCAAATAGTTGACTTCCCCACACATTTTCCCTGCAATCTGGATGGTAAGGTTTCTCTTCTTGATCTATGTTTAACCTCCATCCCCGAGTCCTGTAGCACCACACGGCTCTGCCCTCATGGCAACTCCGATCACGTTGTAGTGTCTGTCAACATCTCCAACTCCGCCCCCAGCAATGAACCTCCTACCACTAGAACATTGTTCTGCTATCAACGAGCAGACTAGGACTCGTTCCGGGATTTCATTCGCGACGTCCCGTGGAACGTTGTCTTCACGCTCCCCGTTCAAGAATGTGCTTCCGAGGTCTCCTCCTGGGTTAAATCTGGAATCGGGGCTTTCAACACCTCAAGGAAATCTAAGGTCAAATCGCGCTCTTGCCTCTGGTTCTCCGCTGCTTTCTCAGCTGCTATTGCCCATAGGAATAACTTTTCTACCTTTATCGTAGCGACATGTCTGATTGCAATAGACGTCTCTTTGTCTCTGCACGTAACGAGTGTAAGCGTGTCCTCAATGAAACAAAGTCACTATGTGTTGCTTGAATGAAAGAATGTATTGCCTCTCGTAAATTCGGCTCCAAGGATTATTGACGTCTCTGCAAGAGCGTACTTAACAATATCAAACCCTCTATACCTCCGTGTTCAACCAGTTTGAGGTTCTGACCTCTTCTGCCGACAAGGCTGAATGCCTTGCTCGAAAATTCTCATTCAATTCAACGCCCGGCTCTTCCGGTGTACCGACACCCGATTCCCAATTCGAACTGAGGCTCAATTGAGCGATTTGCACATAACCCCGTCATCGGTTCTAGGCATCATTTCTAAATTAAACCCCCACAAGGCTAGTGGTAGTGATGAGATACCAGCCATTGCCCTGAAGAAATGTGCACCTGAACTGGCCCCTGCCCTCTCCAAATGATATAACTACTGCCTCACTGAATCTTGTTTTTTCACCCCGTTGGATGTCCTCATCCGTTGTTCCTGTCTTTATCAACTCTGGAGACCCTTCTGACCCTTCTAATTACCGTTTTATCAGTTTTCTACCACTGCTCCGATGAGCTGTTTTCGCTGGTTCCCAGACTTCATGAATTTAAGCGTTCAACTAGGCTGGCATCTCGCTCTCACTCTTTCACTGTCGAAACTGTTAAATGTAGCCGTCTTTTCTATTCCAATAGCTTCATGTCTCGCACTTCTCGCCTGTGGAACTCCCTCCCTATTTATTGTTTTCCTGATAACTATAATCTCCAACTATTCAACTGTAACGTCAAACGACGTTTGCAGATGCCCTGCTCTATCCCCTAAACTTCATCCTTTCCTCTATCACCCCTCTTTGTTCTCGCTCCAACTCTGTAAGCCCTTGCGTACTTGTGGCTTCCCGCTTTGATTTGGTTGAATGCTTATATATATATATATATATATATATATATATATATATATATATATTCCATAAACTTACGTCCTAATTACATTAGGAAATATGTGAATGTTCTTCTTCTCTCTCTAGCTGTGGTTAAATAGCAGGACAGACGGGGTTATATAGCCTTGGATGGAAACTGGTCTAGAAGAAGGAAAATTCTGAATTCAAAACCTGCAGAAAGTCTGCTTAGGGATCTTTTGTGATCATCAGGCAAATTGATGTTTGTCTGTTGAGAGCAGAAGCATGAAACCCAATGTTAAAAGATATCGATACAACTGAATATATATATATACATATATCTATATATATATATATATATCTATATATACATATATATATATATATATATATATATATATATATATATATATATATATATTGCGTGTACCCATGTGTGTGTGTGTGTGTGTGTTTATACATGATTAATATCTCTTACATCCAGGCTAAATATATTAAATGTAACAACATTGTTCCCAACATGGAATTAATTTTATTGGTAAATTTGCACTTACGTTTCTTTGCATGTCCACACACACAGAGTCTTTTTTATATGTTTTTTGACAATTTATTTAAGTAAATACTGTTTTTTAAATAAACAGAATTAATTACATTTCCCCGCCTGAATATTCGAGAAATTTCGTAGAATACTTGCGTTCACATGTCTTTATACGTTATAAAAAATAACGTATAATCAGAAAATATATTAAATAACTTTAGGACTTAATCCTTTTCAAATATATATATATATATATATATATATATATATATATATATATATATATATATATAGAGAGAGAGAGAGAGAGAGAGAAAGAAAGAAAGAAAAAGAAAGAAAGAAAGACAACTAATTGCATGTGTTTACATTTTTCATTGGTATTTTTATTATCAATATTAACCATTTTTTTTTAGAAAATTTTAATTACTTTATTGCTATTTATTTTATTTCATGAAGAAAACTGTAATTTTCCCTCGTATTTACAAATAATGATTTAATTGAATAAAAAGGAAAAATCAATCGTTGTGGACAGGGAAAAATGCTGAATCTGTTTTTTATGAATATTAAGCTCTCAAGTCATTTTTCGCGTCGTTTACTTTTACTTCCTTAGTATATTTACCAATTCATAATCTATTTGCTTTCAGAATTAAATTTTTAAATAATGAAGGACTGTCAAAATTCTGAAAAAAAAAAAAATAAATTTCATCAGTAAGTTTTGAATTATTTTTTCAACCTATAAGTTGATTGTAAAGCTTACATCCGCCCATTCACAACGGGGAAAATGGTCTTCCGTCTGAACTTCCGGTTGGCCTCAAAATCTTTCCCCATTAGTGAATCGCTCTGGCAGAATGAACGAGATGAACTTGTTATTTTTAAATGTTTAGATGGATTATACACGTATCTCTTTTCATGATTTTTTTTTCAAGATCTCTTTTTCTTCTTTTTCCTCTTCTTTTTCTTCTTCTTCTGCTGCTGCTGTTGATTCTTCTTCTTCTTCTTCTTCTTCTTCTTCTTCTTCTTCTTCTTCTTCTTCTTCTTCTTCTTCCTATTATTATTATTAAATCACTTATTACTTTTCATTTCTTCGAGGGTTTTTTTATTGATTTTCCTCGTATCAACATTATTATCATTGTAGCTATTGTCTTACCAATTTCAACCACCTTATTGTTTCCAGCTAAAACCAATTGAAAATTATTTCTCTTTTATTGTTTAAAATTATGAGAAGAGTCATTTACATATAAAACCTTGTTGGGTCACTCAAATACCTTCTTTATTAATGTTTACTGTTGAAGAGTTCACATTCAAAGAGATTTGTGTCCGAACAATGATAAATACGATTAAATTCTATTAACAAAAAAAAATGCTATTTTTTTTTTTTTTGTTATTTTAAGCAATCTTTTTTGCCTTCAAAAATTTGCTTGGATTATCCTTTGCATATTCATTTTAATATTGTCACTTGAAACTTAATTCTTAAAATAAATTACATTCATAGGGCAATCTATTTTGAGGTATTTCATCTAGGTGTCACTCCCAAAATTTATTAAATTATCAACAGCTGTAAATATCCTCAAAATCGAGTATTCTTTACTTTTTTAATAATAATAATATTTCAAAAACTGTCAAATTATCAGGATTTCCAAATCGAAGCCACAAATATGTCGATACTTAAAACTTCGATTATCCCTTATGTGATAGGTGCATAGGGCATGATAATGGAGGGCATAGAAAATGATATGAACCAAATTACTAGACAATCACTATCTCAGAGCCACAAAAAATACGTTTTCACGCAACTGCACATATCATCCAAAAAAACCCTTCCATCTAAACTAAATTGGTATAGACAACTCTCCCATAGTGCACTTTTTAATCATAGATCTCGGAGGGGACCTTCTAATTAGGCACTTAAAATTACTCTTTGACAAGATGGAGCCACACATGTTATAATAATAATAATAATAATAATAATAATAATAATCTATATATTAATAGGCTTGTACCTATGCATATTATGTGTCAGGCTTGGTAGCACAAATATTAATAAGGAAACAGAAAAAACGAGTGCAACACGGAGAGTGATCGGATGGAGGTCATTTGAGGTAAAGGCAGCTATTTGTAGTGAGGGGTTAAATTATGTTTCCGGATTTATTGATCTGTTGAAGAAAAATTCGCAGCTGAATTGCAACGAAACTTTTGAAATTAAAATCTTTTTTATATATATAATATTATATTAGCAAATTTGTTTTCAATTCTTACAAAGGTGACAATGGCACTAAGACGAAAAGAGTTACTGGGAGTGAAAGAGTCTTTAGTCAAGAGAAAGGAAAATAAAAGAGCAGGTTGAAGCAAGACTGAAGATGGCGATAAGCATTGCATTTAATTTCTTGAATATTGTAGATGGCAGAGAAGCAATAAATCAAAAGAGAGTTCCAAAGAACTCACGGTTGAATAGCTAGTTCACCAATAAAACGATGAGACCTGCCGGCGAATGAAGCTTAAATTCATTCGGTCAAGGTACCAAGGAAGAAAGTTTATTGGAAAAATTAACATTACAAATATTTATAGGAAACACAGTGGGAAGCCACATCACGTCTGTAGGTAAAGAACTGAAGTCGAGATTCCTTCATTAGTGTTTGCCAAGAAACTCGAGATATATATATATATATAAAAATTTCATAATATGACATGGATACATTCACGAGACAATAACGAGACATTTCCGCCACACTTCCAATGTTTAAATTTCAACATTTCAACATACAAATGCGTATGTATAGACATAACACCACCCGTATACATACATGTGTCATAGCCGAAACTGTCTACATATGTTTATATATATGTATGAGTCCCGACGGACGACCAAGTATGTATATGTATATGTGTCTGCATACATCGATGTTTGCGTTAGTACGATGAATGACAAAACGACGAAATCTCCCCCACCACTTCCACAATAACACCAATACACGCAATCTACATAAACCCAATTTTTTTAAAACAGTAATCAGTTTGTCTGACGATCGCTAAAGCGTGAAACCCAGGGTCACAAACTCACATCTATCCAACCAATATATATATATATATATATATATATATATATAGAGAGAGAGAGAGAGAGAGAGAGTGTGTGTGTGTGTGTGTGTGCGAGAGAGAGAGAGATAGATATGTTAGCAAGCATTGGTTATGTGCATCAAGAATAGATGGTCTATGGTTTCTTGATATTTGTCACAGAACCTGCATTTTTGGATCTACACTATTATGTATGATATTTGCCTGAAAGATCTTAGGGAAAAGACTCTGGTCTTACGATGCAAGGATAAAGCCTCCCCTTTCAGTCTTTAATCCAGATGCTCGTTGTTTCGTCTGTTCAAAAGATTTATCTTTGGCTTTCTCTTTCATTTTTTTTCTGCAGCAGTTAGTTCTTACGTTCTGTTTTGGTTTTCTATATAATCTCCTTGTATTTACAACCTTCTACAATTATTATTATTAGTAGTAGTATTAGTATTAGTATTACTGTTGTTGTTGTTTAATTTCCTTTGGTTCCTGGTGTGTACTCATTTCTTTTCGGGTCCCGACCAGAGACCTAAGATCAGAAATGACATCATGACATTTTCCACTGAGCAGTTTTCAAAAAAACATCACACATGTTTTACATAGATAAAACCTTTCGTAAGGTGCGGGCTGTACTTGTGAGAATAATTTTTGTATTTCTTTCATCCGACCATGGATTACTTCAATGACTCCATTGGAATCTTCCAATCAATCCAAGGATTCCAAATACAACTGGCATTTTTAATGTCCTCATATGCCACACTTTTGAGATTTCGATTTCAATGTCCCTGTATTATGATAGTTTTCTGAAGATCTTCAAAGATCCATTGCAGTCTACGGGGACTGCCATATCAAGAAAGAAGCACATTTTGCCTTTGCGGTCGCTAATCATGACGTTAGGGTGATTAGTTTTTTTTGTTCTATCTGTGTGTATTGTAAAGTCCAATAAAGTTATTACAGGTCCTATCTACGACCCGGGTCTGGGTGACGTTCGTACCAATTTCCTGTAGTTTCCTTTTCCGTAAGTGTTGCAGGCTTTTCTGTGCAGATATTGGCCCACTCTGTCGTGCCGTGTTTTATACTCAGTGGGTGCCAATACCGCGCAACCTGATACAAGATGACTAATTTTTTCGAGATATTTATCACAGAATCTGCATTTTAGGCTAACACATTTTTTCAGTATGTGTGCTTAGTAATTGAAAGTTAGCAAGCATTATTATTATTATTATTGCTACTACTACTACTACTACTACTACTACTACCCATAAAAATAATAATAATACCGTCTTTGGTTTTCTGTTTCGTACAATTCCTTACATGTTCGTTATCCAAGACCGGGGTTAAGGCAATGATATTAAATATATGCATTCTTTTAGCACAAATTCTGATGTTAAGTGGTACTTAACATCTGCATTAATTTCTTTACATCGATGATACACTCTTGAGTAGAATGCAAACTATGCATTTTTCGTAATAAAGAATAATACTTTTCCCAACCAGAGCCGTCAATAGACAACAATTTTTATGTTTTTTTTGTATCAAAAAGCTGCAAACATATGAGGTACTATACAACCACAGTGAAAAATATTAATTTTGGCCTCTGTATGGTGAGAAATTTATACAAGTTTTGAGAAGTTCCCATCCATATGATTTTCTGTAATTCACCTATTTTAGAGCTGCTGGAAATATCTATTCACAGAATGTTTTGCATAGGATATACCACAATCACATTCTCACGGAGACTCACATGCCACCTATCGGCCATAGTGCTATTAACAACACAATAATAAGCTGCATAAGGATCATAGTGACATTAGACAGCTACTCGCAAACAAGACCAAAACACTAGCAAAATCAAATAGTAATTATTATCGTTGAACAACAAGAAAAACCACCAATACATAATGACAATTATAAGTGCTCGCATACATAAATATATATAAAAAAGCAAATTTGCACACGTCACGCCTTTCTTATGCAACAATACCCTTTGTTTACGTTACAATATAGAATGTTTCTACGACACTAACCAATTGTCTTTACCTACTCTTCTCGTAGAACAGTTGCCACCCAAGGCAAGGCTGTCCTACAATTTACCCATAGCTGGGGGGAGAAAAAGAGGATCAATACCTTTCCTAAGGGTATTATGAGCACAAGTAATTGCAATGGATTCGACAAGAATTCGAACTCGGTTCTCCGATTCGAACCGCTATCCATTACTCCACCGTGCCTCCAAATTAACTTTAGTTGGCACATATCCGCCGTTCTTAACCGTATTTGCCTTAAAGAATAATTGGTGTCTAAATACACAGAATATATATATATATATATATATATATACAGACACACACACACACACATTGTCTCTCTGAAAAGTAAAAGAACTTGGTGTACCGTGTGAGCGATGAGCAAATGACATATATGCAGATTAGTTTATCATCTCTAATATGAATATGGTTTAAATTTTGATTAGAATGTTATTAATTTTGTTCCTTTACAGAGAGACACTATCTGAAAGCGATTTATATATATATATATATATATATATATATATATATATATATATATATAAAGAAATATAGTTTTAAGGTGTGCTATATTTATGGGATAAAGTGCTCAATATCAGAGATAGAGCGTATGTAAATATAAATATAAAAGTGAACATTGAAGTCAACATTCAGTGGCGACAGGCTGTTTCATGTTCGACGCAATCATTAGGACGCCTGACGATTGCGTTCAGCATGAAACAGCCCGTCGCCTCTGAATGTTGACTTCAATGTTCACTTATATATATATCGGCCGTGTATGTATACGTGGTCTCTCTGAAAAGTAAAGGGACTTGGTGTGCTGTGTGAGCTATGAGTAAAAGATAGATAAGCAGATTGTGTTATCATCTCTAATATGAAATGTTGGAAGCATTTGATCTTAATCTTAGCCTTCTGAAAGCATTGCATTTTTTCACATGCTTTTATGGCAGAACAAATCGTGGCTGCTTCAACATGTCAAT